AGATAAAAAGAAGACTTATTTTTCACTACTCATTTGTATTATTTAACTTTAAATGTTTATAAAAAATATATAAATAATTAAAAAAAAAGTAATGGATTGAATTACATCTTCAAGAAGATGACACTGAATGGTTCCATATGACAAGTACCAGAATATGATCTTCCAGAAATAAGATCTTGTCCACTTCCACATTGAGTATCGTATGTATATGTTCCCATATTGATCAAAACCTGAATTCTATTTGAACCAGATACTTTATCAACTTTGTAAAGAGTTCCTGATGCATTTTGATTTTCTCTTCTTCCTTGATATAATGCAGGATTAGATGCTCTAATGTTCATTAATTTTGCAGTGAAGTCATGAAGGGATTGTTCATTTGAATTAAATCCTTGAATATGTCCATCACTTCTAGCAGCATTATCATTATAAACTCCTCCACAATCTCCTGGGTTATAATAACATTCTACAAGATCTCCAACTTCATCTCCATAATAAATAGTAATTGGTCCAGTGTATGCAGCAAGGAATGCAATTGCAGCTCTATGTCTACCCCAATAATCATTATTATCTCTACCATATCCATATTTCTTTCTAATTAAATTACCAAATCTCAATAAATCATGATTAGTTATAAACATATTTGGATATGCAAAATCTGGATATCCTGCATTAAAAATACCATTTAAGTTTGATGCATCATACCCTCCTTTTCCTGATTCTTCACAAGCTAATGTTTGAACCAAATTATATCTGCCTGGGAAATGGAAACATGATCTAAGTCCATATCCACCAGAAGCATAATATCCCCATGTATTAATATTAGAAGCAGAATCCCAAATTTCTCCAACCATATATCCAAGAGTTCCCCATTGTTTTCCTTGATTCTTTCTGTTATCACATGTTGATTCAATGGTTTCTCTAATATCTTTCCAATAATTTCTATCTTGGTTTCTTGTAGAAACTTGATAAGCTTGGTCTAATCTCCATCCATCAATTTCATAATTATTAATCCAATAAGTAGCAACTTCTTTATAAAATTCTAATGATCCTGGATAACTGACTGGATCATTTCCTCCTGTTGGATATTTTCCACTTGGACTACCTGCAACATTTCCTGATTTATTATTTTTTAATACACCATCAAGAATAACATATAATCCAAGACTATGTGCTTTATTGATTAATTCATGAAGTTCATCATTTGTTCCAAATTTTGGATCTACATTAAAATAGTCATAAGCAAAATATCCAGTTGAATCTAATTGACTTCCACCATTTGAATTAAAGATAGGAGTCATCCATAATGCATTCATTCCTAAGTCTTTAATATATTGAAGAGAATTAATAATACCTCGTAAATCACCACAATGTTTTGATGGTCCATATCCTGTACAATATCCTCTACTTGAATCACCATCTTGGAATGAACTTACCATAACCTGATAAATTCTAAGGTTATTGAAAGCATTTGTATCAATTGCTTGAGTGAATACCACTAATAAAACAACTAAGAGTTGTAACATTTGACTGAAGTTATAAGTTTTTTCCGAGTTGAAATACCACCATACTTTTCAAGAAAATTTTTTCCTACTTTTCCATGTTGTTTTTTTATTAAAGTCAAACCTTTTTTTTTGAAATTTCTTTCTATCCTTTTTTCTGAAGTTTTTTAAAGTGATTTTTCTTAGCATTAACTAGTATATTAATAATATTAATTTACTATTTAATTTACTATTTTTTTCTTTGAAAAATCGTATGGTAGAAATTGAAAATATTCTTTTCATGATTTTTATTAAAATTTATGTTATTCTTTTTGTGTTATTTATGTCTATACTAACAATATTATCCAATTACAAAAATATTTTCCGTTAAAACTTTTCAATTTGAAGATATAAAAATATAAAACACAAGAAAATAAGTAAAATAAATAATTATAAACAATTATTGATTTATTTAAACTCATAC